TTTTTATAAGAGGGTTTGGAGAAAGAGCCAGAAAGGCTTTTCTCACACAGAATGTTTAGGCAAACATTGAAGAACTATGTTTGAAATAACCAGTCTATTTTTTGAGCAGTGGCCCTGTAATCCCAGAGATGAAGTGCTTCAGGCCTGTTGAAACCTACTGGAATAAACCTGTCCACTTCAGAGTACAAATAAAGCATTAGATATTAGAGCCCTGTACTGAGTAATCTTACCATACTTACTCTTAAAGTAGGAACTTGATTGGCTGAATGTTATATCAGTGACTTGGATCGGAGTTGGTTTTGGATAATGCAATTAGGTGTTGTGGTGAAACACAAGGTAGAGGGGTGTTTTCTATGAGTATTAGTTCTAAATGTGTTGCTTAAAGAACTAAAGGAGTGGAGAGGACTATATGGTCACTAAATGAAAGGTACTATAAAAGTGTTCTGTATATATTTATGTATTTCTTTACACCAAACAGGTTTCTTCTTCCTATTGTGAATTTTACTATTATAGCTATTGCACAATGGAGAAACTGAAACTCGTAAAAAGCTGGTGGCTTTAGACAAATTACTCAGCAAATCAGTGGCAGTGAAGACCAAGGAAAACAATCCTGTAGCTTCAGTTGTCCCAGTTACCTTCCTACATTTACAAGTATGAAGTAGTGCTGATATTTATGGAAAAAACAGGGGCTACTCATCCACAGAATCTAAAGATGGCTTTATCAGACAAGGTATTTTAGAGAGGCTGTGGCCCAACTATTGAAAAGCAGTCATGTGGTAAGACGTGTGGCATGTCGGCTCAACGGCATTTCGGCAGCATCCTGCCTTGTAATGTGCTTGACAGTACATGTCTTCAGCATAACACGATAGCTAACCTACCCTGTTGTTCATGAATCACTGTTACAAAGTAGCAAAGCAGCAGATCTGGCTGCTTCTCAGGAAGTTGGTTAAAACTCTCTGAGATGTTAAATAGAAATGAGCCATGATGATGAAACCTTTCCTTAAAAAAAAAAGAAAAAGAAAAAAATGGCATAGAGGGTGAAGAGGAGAAAAAGACTTTTTGCCCTCAGGATGTAATAGCAAAAACTAGATACAAAGCAATCTGCAAAAAAGTATTCCCAATTTGAGTTTGTGTGGGGATTATATGCCAGAAGGAATCTACCGCCCCAAACATTGACGTAAGTTAATTACGTATTTGTTATGCGAACTGTCACAGATTAATTAGTACAAGTCTCGGAAAATCTAAATATGCACCTGTATTTTTTGGAGCTTATAATTCAAAAAAATATTCTCAGACAAGTTTGATCTTAGTGACAGACATGTTGAGTATCTTTTCTTCTTTTATATTTAAAAGCAATCGGTGAAATGCAGCCACTTGAAAAAGAAAATTAAATACAATTTTTAGATTCATTCAAAGAGCAGGGGTTCTCTCCTCCACAGATGCTTGTTATTATTGTGTTATACATAACCATAGCAGAGTGCCTTCAGTTGTGACTTAAGTGAGGTGAATAAATTCTGTTGTTTGGAGTTCCTGCTTTTGCATCTTTCCCCAGAAGCAGAATTTTGTGTGCAGTCTGTTTTAGTCACCTGTTTTATTTGCACACACATTATATGTACCTATAAATATGCTCCCTTTACCTCCTTGGGGAATGCTGAGGCAAATAAGTGCATATAGGTACACAAACGTTTTCTCTCTTTTCTCTGTGCCTTCCCCCTCATTTCTATTTTGTTGAGAAAAATGATGTTGTGTAGGAAGGAAGTAGAGATGTTTTTGATGGCCATGTCGTTCCTGACCTACCTCTTAGAAACAGCCAGCTCCTGCACAGGTGAGCTTTATCTTTTTGGAAGCAAGTTTCAGTGTGTGAGAGGATCAGTGTTGTTGACTTTGATCCTTTTCTTGAACACTTGTTACAGTCTCCTTGCACAAAGCCATTTGAACATCCTGAAGGTGAAGACTGAAAATCTGGAACTTAGGGTGCCTTGAAGCTCACCTTGTACCTCTTGAATTCCAGCGATGTACAGATTTTCTCTGTGTATTGAGATTGAAGCTTGCGTTAATCAACCTGCTCACAGTAATTATCCTGCTAAAGTCAGGGAAATCAGGTTTTCTTCAGTAGTGCTGGATTTCACCCAGAGCCCGCTCATCCCGGTGACCATTCAGCTTTCCCAAAACAGGCAGATTAATTGTCTGCCAGTGTGCTGCGGTTCTTCACCTTCATGTGAAACACGTTTTACTTCCAAGGAAAGTGTGTGGAGAGTAGCCTTTTGACTTCAATTGACAAGGGCTACCGAGAGTCCCTTTTGCCATTTGATTCCTAATAGAAACTAGAATAGCCTTTGGTGGGTAGTGTGTGAGGGACTGAATTTGTTACAGCCACTGGAGGGATGTGCGTTACTTTCTTTTTTGGCTTTTCCTGGTTTCCTGTGGAAATGAGGCTTTTTCTGTCACGCTTTCTGCCTGCCTGCCCAACCCTGTCCTATTGACTTTTTGAATCCATTGGCCAATTTTAGCCCTATTTGACATTGAGGCAGATGCTTTAAAGATGTTAAAGTTCTACAACTGTAATGCCTGTTGGCAGCTGGATAGAGGCGAGAGATGTAATTAATGCTTGTACTGATGAAAAGGCTTCAGTGTCTGCTCAGCTTTTCCTAGGTATCAGGCTTTACTAGCTCTGTTGTGAACGCAAACTGCCTGCTTTTATACTGTGCAAGCATCACTGTAGTGCTTTTATAGGTGGCTTTTCTGTGGTTTGTCTTGCTGGAGCACTTCAGAGCCTTAATGAGACTTCAGAATGCCATTGAGCGTGCCTGTATTGATTTTGCAGGCTGTTGCTACCAAATATTGAAGTGCTGCTAGTTCTGGGAGATTAATGAAGAGCTGTGCATATGGACAAAAATCTTCCTCTTCTCTCGCTCTTCCTCCTGACCTCGACCTCAGCTCTTCTTCTCTTACAGGGAGGCCAGCACCTGCTTCTTGGGGTCTACTCCTTGCCCTAAAGATTACAGCATATCGGGGTGCTAACCCTTCTTCTCCATGTCATGCATGTTCCTTATCTCACGTAGCCTTCGCCTTCTCAGCTTCTGTCCTGGGACCCGGGGTTCCCACCTGGCCTCTGGCACAGTTGTTCTGTACTGTCCCACCACTTTTCTGGGGAGCAGGAAGAGCGCTGTGGGCGGAAGGGAGCTGCCCATTTCCCCCTTTCTCCTAGAAAGCCCGTTCAGGCACTACCTTGGTGTGGGGGGGATGGAGGAGCAGGCATGAGACAAATGAGCGTAATGGTCCAATTTAATCTGCGGGATAGTTCTGTCAGTTTACATGAGGAAGCCGATTTGACTTTCTTAATTCAGACTTTTCCTCTCATGCATGATAATTTCTTACCTTTTTCATCTTAAACTTTTCAATTAAAAACCTGGAGAAACAAATAAGTTTTGCCATCTGGACATAAGGACTTAAAAAAAATAGTCCTTACCTTTGAAACTCCAAAAGAGTGTCTCCTTGGGTTTGAGCAGCTGGTGGAAGATAAACAGCCTTTGTATTGGGGACATGCTACAAAAAAATACATTGTTTTTAAAGTTTTAAATTTAAAAAAGGTGTGTGTCTAGAATAGGCTTAAATATTATGTATGTGCGAGTTTAGAAATTACATTCTTTCTACCTCATTCTACTTTAATTGCCTTTTAGACGTGAGGTTTAGAACTGAACTTGTCAGGCTTTCACGGAATAGATTTTTAAATTTGGAGTTATTAATCTGAGGCAGAAATGGCAAATGAGAAGATGTATATCATAGTAATATGGTCCTGTTTTAGCATTCCAAGCTTGGCCCATAATGATGTTTATAGATGATCTTGGGCCAGTTTCTGAAAAAGCATGCAATAAGCATATATTTATATATGTGTGTATGTGTGTGTATATATTTTTTTTTCTATAGATGCTTGGGCATTACTTTAAGTGCAAGTCAGCATGTCATGACTGTCTTTCTGCAGCTTAATCTGTCTCTTGGGGTACCTTCAGTCTTTTCAGAGACTTTTGTGTCACTGATCTTATAAATGATTCTTACCAGCTGTTAGACATATTGAGGTAGCCACCACTCATTCTATTATACAAAAAGAATTAATGTATATATGTGCACAGTATTGTTCTGTGTTCTATGTGTGCACAGCATGTTTTCCATGAATCCTGACTTTTTGTTTTCTCTTAATGTATATACTAGTTGTATAGGCCAGATACATTATTCTGGCTCTTTTTTCTTACTCATAATGTGGAATACAGTGCCTAATTTTCAAAACAACAGAAGGACTGTAAAATGAGAGATTGCAAATTAGAGAATACTACAGTTCTGATATAATTTTTTTTGAATAAATGAGCATTTCTTCAAAAATACAGAAAGCTTTTTGGAGTCTAGAGACACTTTCAGAAACAATCATCATTTGGCTCCTGACTTAGTAAAACACCGAAATCTCTTTGAAATGAAACATATGATTAAATTCCTTGACAAAATTGCAGCTATTTATGAGTAATGTGACTCCAGGAGTCAGAGCAAAACAAATTTAGAACTTTTGTTTACCAAGCTTCTTAATTGATCCAGAGTGTTTTTATTACAATGCAACAAGCCTTTTGCTTTCACGGACTGATTTTCAGTTTATAAAATGTTCTGGAAGTAGCCATGAATTCTCAAACGATGCGAGCGCCTCGTATAGCTGGAATACACGGAGGAGAGACTCTCCTGAGGGGCTGTGTTGATGGAGTTGAATGAGAGGAGATTATTTGCTCTAGCTCATAGCACAGAGAGTTTAAATGGCTTGGCCGTGTGTGGCTCCGAGGAATATAGAAGCTTTTGCTTCCCAGTTCTGGATTTAGAATGCATACTTCTGGCATTCGTTTCACATCTGCAAAAGTTATTTTAACAGTATGACATGATGGTATGTGGGGAGGAGAAAGGCAAAGAGGAGATTTCCCAGTGAAATTTTCTTTATATTTTTGTTCTTTTGCTTTTTGTTCTAGTGAAATGAAGCAGAAGTTGGATGAAGAGGGTAACAAGTGCAGCATCCTTTCCAAGCAGCAGAAGTTCAACGAGCACTGCTGTATTCGCTGCTGTTCCCCTTTCACGTTTCTTATCAACAGCAAGCGACAGTGCCAAGATTGCAAGTACAACATCTGCAAGAGCTGCAGTTCTTACCAGAAGAAGGAGAAGGCTTGGATTTGCAGTGTCTGCCAGCAGGCAAGGTAGGAGCCTATTGTTCAACTGCTTCCTGTAAAGCAGCTGTGGCCTGACCTGAATTTTTCCGTCTGTTTGTCAGTAGTTGACACTGGCAAGATAAGACATGAAGTACCTGTTTATGTAGGAGTTGATTTGTTCCTGAGGCATGAAGTACCTGTTTATGCAGGTGTTGATTTGTTCCTAAAGTGTTTGGTTACCTGTTGCATTACCAGGTTCTTTAGCTGGACTGATGAATCAGCAAAAAGTAATTGGGCTTAGTTTGTACAGGGCTGTGACCTTGTTAAATATCTAGGTTGCTAGTGTAACCTGAGCACAGGCAGTCATAAGGCAGTTAATTATTTTTCAGCAAATCCCACTGATGTGTGGGGAGAGGAAGGAATAATATTAGTGAATGGGTCATCCAGCTGTGAATGTTTTTTGAAGTGCTTTTCTAAATGGCAAGTTTACTAGTGGGGATGCTTTGGGCTTATTTTGGCAAATAACTATTCCAAATAGCAGTGCAACCTGTTACAGTTTTTAACATCTGTTGAGAAAATGCCGCCAGGCCTTTTATTTGCAGAGGGTATCAGAGTGATTTACTGTCTCGCCCTTTTAAGGCTAACATAGCCAACGCGTTTAAAGATAGCACCGGAAAAACAAAGTAACACATAACAACCGCAAAGGTTTTATTTCCTGGAGGGTGACTGTGATCATCCTTCCTGTCTGCATTGCAGGCCAGGTACCAAAAGCGCTCTTAGCTGTGGTGGCATAGTACTCATCAAGGCTTTTTACTCAGACAAGCAGAGTAAATGAAATAGCCTGGTTCCTCATAGTTTGATTTCTAACGTTTCTGAGTAGTACAGCCAACCAAACGTGACAAAGATGGCTGTGTATTCTCAGTCTTCCCATTTGGTGGTAAAAGAGGATTAAGACAACTGCTCAGTTCCATTCCAACACTGTACAGTATTTCTGGGCTCACCAAGCGCTCATTGGTCCTCCTTGCTTCTCATCAACACCCACCTGAATTTTAAGCTTTTACATAGTATCTGTGCATAAAGTGTGTGCCCTTTGACACAGGGCCTCAAAATCATAGGGATAGCAGGTAGATCTTACATTTACCTTTAGATGGTCAAATGTTTTTGTTATGAGCTTCTTAGTTTTGATTAGGAGCAGAACTGCGTATTTAGTCGACGTTAATGTTATTAAGGTTACTTGTGAATAAGGATTGTAAGAGCAGTCTCGTTTAACATGCCGAAATTAAACCAATAACATCTTATGTTTATTTTGGTTGTCTGTCTTTCATTATTGCAGTTGTACTTTTCCTACTGTGATTGGCAGTGGTGAAGCTAAATGGACTCACATTGTGTAGACCTATTCACTGATGCTCCGCTTAAAACAATAAACCAATTTCTACAAAACTGTGGAGGATAACATAACTTTTCCAGCTGTGCAGAAACCTCACTGATATTAATGCAACTTAATGGGCCATCAGGGAATCTCTACAAGAAAGGAATGATACCACCCCTGCACAGTCTTGATGGAGGAGCGCCCTGTAGCAGCAAGCTGTGTTCTCTTTATGCTTGTTTAGACATTGGCTCCATTTACTCACAACTGCCAAATTTTTTCTGATGAGTTTGACACCATTCTAGCAGGTTGTAGCCTGAGACCTCAACTTTGTATTAGCTTTCCAGCAGCCTTGAGAAAGCAGTGTTCAGATAACTTTACTCACCAAAACTAAGTGCGATGTTGTAGTACAGGCTGCCTCTTGCATCCCAAAAGTTGCAGCTGTTCCTTGGTGTATTTTAAGATGTTTTTCCCCTCTGGAGCTGCTGAATAACAGGGGTTGGTTAATGCCTAGAGCAGTTTACAAGATATTTACAAAATACAAGGATTTTTGGCTAAATATTTCACTTCACAGTAGGAGTACTTCACAAAGACTGAAAGACTGTCTTTGATGAAGATGTATCTGGTTCATGCCTTCTGTACAGTATGGTTCAGGCAGTACAGCCAGGCCATGAAAGGAGGCAGCTGAAAGAGAATTTAAAGGCCACTTTTTTGTGAACTTATTTTAAAATAAAATGGACGTGTGTTCTCTTGACTGAGAGACTGAAGATTAACCAAATTACTAGATAGTAATCTGAAATCTTAATTGAAAATTCATTGCTGCTTTTAAGAGCTGTGTGATGAAAATGGAGCTCTTGAAAACGGAGCTGCTGTGGTCACGCATGGTGCCCTAACGTGCTCAGTGATGGGCTGCATCATTCATGGGAACACTTGCCATACGTTTGGGAAAATGATTTTAAAGTATAAGTAATTTGCAGCAGCTTTCAGACGACTCCTGGAGAGGTATTCTAGCTTCTAGCAATGGTCTTTGGGTCTGTGCCTGAACCACTTGACTTCTTCCTTGTTGAGGGGTGAAGAGAGCTAGAAAGGCCTTCCTTTTCCAAACCCCATGGAGGTCAGCAGGATCCAGCTGGAGCACGCAACTCGAGGTCGGGAAGAGGCTGAAACTTCACTGTCCAAGTCCCATCCCAGTGGAAACTGCCCTGGAAGGACGTGTGAGCTGTGCTATATCAGGAAACTAAGAGTACCTGGCACGTGATGCTTGTTTCTTCTTCTCCCGCATATATTTTTGTCCTTTCCCTGGGGGTAGTGTGTGTGTGTGTGTGTTCAGACTTAGCACATCCGTTTTCAGTGTAGCTGGTCAAACTGGAAATAGCCTCTTTGAGTTTGCTGGGGTGATTGTTTGCTGGAACACTGATGCCAGAGAGAGCACGTGTTTAAAGCATGCAAAACAAAAACAGTATTAAACAGAGAGAAATGTCTGGCTTTTGGGCTTGCTGATAACAATACAAAACAAAAAACGTTTTAAAATGGTTTACAGATAAGTCGGTCCTCATGTTTTAGGTCCTCCGGCAGCTGTGAAGTCCCGTTTTCAGAGAAGGCAGCAGTGCCTGTACCATTTCCAATTGCCAGCATTTGGACCCAAAGGGAGATGCATCCCCAGGGCACCTGCTGCTTCTCTGCCTTTTGGCTGGGTATATCTTCCCTCCATCAGTGAGGAGCCAGCCGAATGACAGGATTATCTTTCCCAGCAGCATGGAGAGCTACAGAGCCGGTGCTTGCTTCTACTTTAGTCGTTCAACCATTTCCAATTACACTTCCTTCTTCCACGTCTCCTGAGTTCACCCATGTGGGCAGCAGAGCAGGCAGCCAGGTTTGCAGATGCTGAGGAACAGCAGTTACTGTAGTTAGTCATTGACTCAGCAAAAAAAAAAAAAAAAAAGAAAAAGAAAAAGAAGAAAAAAAGTCTCTGAAGAATTTCATTTCAGAAGAAAAATCTTTAGCTATATTATAAAAATGCTGCTCTCCTTTTTGACTCTCAAAGAGACAGTGCTTTTCCCACAATCCTATGCAGCCCTCATAGTCACCCACTTATTATTCATTTATAAACATATTCTTTATTTATGAGCTCTGAGACTAAACCTGAGTAATTTTCCAGTGAATAAATTACAAACATTGCTGCTAACCATTTTGTGATCTAGTTTATTGATTGGACTGTGCAACTTGCAAAACCCTGTAGGGGAGCCAGGAACTGGGATTCCTCAAAGGCTGCTGAGCAGTTATTATTTATTTATTTATTTCATTCTCAGTGCTCAGTATTTCTTGTAGAGAAAAATGCAGGGGCAGATAAAGTCTGCTCTCAGTTCCTATCCCTTTTTCAGGACTTACCCCTCAGATGGAGCATGGACTATATCCTCCTGCCTGTCCCCAGATCCTCTTTTTCTTATATGTCTTTTATTTTTCTATTTGTGGGACAGCACACATAGTGGAGGTGGTTCTTTGTTTGGCTGCTGCTTCTCTGCACATCTTACCGCACAACACATACGAACAGAAATATCTCAGAGAGGACTGCATTTTCGGGTTGTTCTCTTTTTTTCCCCCTCCTTACATATCTTTGCCCAATTAATGCTGTTTAATGCTGCAAAAAGAACTTTGATGTCTGTCTAACTGGAAAAGTATCAACATTTACAGTTCAGACTTCCCACAGTGATCTGCTTGTATTCTTCAGTTCTGTTCTAGAGCAGAGCTGGAATAATGCTAAGTTTCCTTTTTAGTAGGTAATTGGAATATATCAACCAGTTCCATGGTGTCAGAAGCAGTTCCTTGCTGTAGGAAAGGCTATAAAGCATTCTCAGCATGAACTACCTTTGTAAAGGTGGTTCATCTTAGGCATTAGAACTTGAGAATCTAATCTGAGGAATTACCTGAAGGATACTTTATGTTTAACAGCACACTGTGAAATACTAAAAAGTTCCTGTGTGACCTGGGAACCTAAGAACCAATGACTTGGCAACGGTTAAATATTTTTGAAAGTAATACATCGTGTAACCATCGCTTGGGTTCAGATTGAAAACATTTCTGGGAGCGGTACCCACCTCTGTAGACCTTATTATGGATGTTACTCCCCATTATCTTCCCCCAAAATAGTAGCAGGAACTTTTACAGACTGTAAATGGTTTCCTAATGGATTCCTGCACCAAGGTGATCTTGACACTGAAGACACTGTGACACGTGAGTTAGTTGCTCAGGGCATGACCCTAATGGAGATGTCTGTTCTGTGGAATTTTGTTTTTGTCTTGCAAGGCAGAGATTTACATTAAACATTTATCAGAGAGCAAATACGCAAGTCAGCGTTTGAAACACAGAATGTTTGTGGGAAATTGGGCCAAAGAGTGTATGAGGTTAAAGCCCCTGTTTCTTCCAAAGGCAGCAAACTTATCTATAAGCGAGTGAGAATTTTGGTATTTGTAGGAGAAAAAACACTCCTTTTAAAGCACATCTGTTGTTAAATGCATCTTTTAAATATTGTAAGATTTAGCTTGTTACAGAATCTTATTACTCTGAAATGTCTTTATAGCTGTGTCTGCATAGCTCTTGCGAAGAACTGAAGAACCTTCCTTCAACTTTCACATTTTTCAATTTGATATCACTTTCAAAAGTGTTTTGTTTTAGATTCACCTCT